TGGGAGAACTTGCACAATTGGTGGCTGACTAAATACTTTTTTGCCCCACTGTATTACATGAGTGAATCATTAGATTATTTTTAGTCAGTAAATACAATTGACCAGATGGCAAATATGCTCAAAAGCCATTTTTTTAAAAAATACAGAAAATATGAATGAAATAGAAATTTTTGGCAGCGATTATTTGGATGGAAATTCAATTTGACAATGCACAGATTAAAAATGTAAATATCCAAATCTAAGTTCATCGTTGGTTCATCAAACAGTTGCCATATTCAAGGATCTTGAAGATTCAGCTCAATCACCATTGCCTCCTATTTACCAGCCAGAATGGATCAGTAATGGCACGGAACTCAGTAAACCGCATGAAAATGAACGTGATTTTTCTGAAGGTATTGCTGTGAATAATATTGTTCTTTCATAGTGATGCATGGATGAAGTTTGTTTTCGTAGCATCTATAGCCGTGATGGTGAACCTATGGCGTGCACGCTACAGGTGGCAAGCGGAGCCATTTGTTAGGGCAAGTGAGGCTTTGCCCTGTCAGCTCCAGCGGGCATGTGCGCGCTGGCTAGCTGACTTCGGCCTTCATTTTCAGTTTGGCCATGGGACCGTTTTTTGCCCTCCAGAGCTTTCAGGCGGCTTCCCTGAATCCTCTGGAGCACAAAAAACGGCCCTATGGGCAAACCAGAAGTCGGTTCCCAAACTTCCAGTTTGCCCATAGGGCCTTTTTTGTGCTCTGGAGGCCTCAGGGAAGCCTGGGGGGGGGGACACACTATTTTTGCCGTCCTCAAGCTCCTAGAAAGCCTCCTGGAGCCTAGGGAGGGTGAAAAACGAGTCAATTGCATGCTAAAAACGGGGGTGGGATCACACACATAATGTTATGGATGTGGCCACGCCCACGCACAAGCCCCCTGCGTTCCCCCTGCTTTTGGCACATGATGGGAAAAAGGTTAGCCATCACTGACCTATATTATATATTCATTATTACAACGCCTGAAAATAATTCAAATAATATATAACAACTTAAAAAATATTTCTAAGTTGATTTGTTTTGTTCTTAAGGTGATTTAATGTAGTATGGTTCCATTTTGATTCTCTATAAATCCTCATTCTGTATAAGCCTTGAATCATAAAAAATCTGAATCTTAGTCTTATAATCTACTTTTTGATATTTTTATTATCTTATTCAGTATATGGTGATCTGTGTTTTTTCTATTTCTCCAAAGGCATCCAGTGATTATTTCTGTGATAACAAAATTGATTGGAAACTTGCAATGACTGTGTGTAAAATGATGAGTAGATTTAGGATATAATGTTACTAAAGCAAGAACGTATATAGTGATTGGGAAGAGGGGGGGGAGCCCAATTTTAAGCAGCAACCATTGTTCTTACTTGTGAATTATTTTGTTTGTTAAAAATGCATAACAATAGATATCATGGAAAAACTACATACCAAATTTATTACCATTAACCACTAATAATCTTTGGTGGACACAGGAAAGAAAACAGTGGACCCAACAGGAGTTAATTAGGATGGGACTTGCTGTTAGAATTATAGTGTGCTTTTTTATATGCCTGAATTATAACCAGTATTATATTGTTTTGTGAGAAAAAAATATTGGACCTATGCTGCTAAGGGAATGAAAATGCAGCTAATAGTTTTGTTTCATTCTCCATTGCATTATCGCTGCCATAGATGCGGGCTTTTATGGCACCAAAGAAGATCCAACTTCAGAACCAATGAGGCAATGGGTTAGTGAAAACAAGTATACTACAAAACCCACAATGGATGTCTTGTTTCCTGGAATAGTTCCTCGAAGAGAAATAAATCAAAAAAATAAAACTGATCATACAGGTATCCACTAAAATGGTGGTGGGATCTTTTTTACCCCTCTTATTAGGTGAGATATTCTTCTGTTTTTAATTTCCGTGTCTATTTTAGGCATGTTAAAAAAAAAGCGCCTAAGAACACTGTATGAGGTATGTCACTTTCCATTGGATAGAGTGAGAGTCCGGAAAGGAAAGCTTTTCTTTATCCCAGGTTCATTCATAGTCTCCATAATTCTATTTAATTCGGTTGATGAAATAAATAGACAGCCAGCTATCTTATGTATTTCAAGTCTTCAAATACATAAATAAAACCCGATTCTTATATACTCTTTTGATTTGTAAATTTCAGCCTACTGTATCATTAATGTTTTACAGGTTACTCATGAAAATAATTGGTTGAGGGGTCTTTGGTGGTCTCTGCTAGGCTGCTTGCACTGATGATGTTACTTGGTTTGGGTAATGAAGCAAGCTCAGAGAGCACCAAGGTCCCCTCATTTAAACCCTGAGCTACAAATATTCTTCTTTATTGCTAATTAATTAATTGGTTGCCTGTTGATAATGATGATAAAAAAAATATGAAATCAACATCTGAAAGTAGTGAACTAATGGCCCTTTTTGACTGTAATTAGGATTTGAAATTACTAACTCAAAATCTTCAATAATNGACTGTTGAATATAAAATTTACTGTGTTGCATGTAACATTATTTCTAGCAGTGTGGCCATGAACAGCACTCATGGTTCTACTATTGTAGGTGGGCATCTTCTAAAATCTGCTCCATTAAAGGAAATGTTATAGTACAAATTGAAATTTGAAATTTCCTTTATTTTGATTCTGGCAGAAAGTGAGCCATGTTTAATCTATTTATTAAAAATTGAATTCTTTTTTGGAAATTATTTGTGCCAGTGAGTTCATTCTTTTGGATAAGTTCTTTACTTTCTTAATAATGGTGTTCTGCTTCCCAGAAACATTTATATAGTAGATAGAGCTAGGTAAAACAGACAGAAGGAATTAAGAAGAAAATTTGTGCAAATATGATTACAAAAATAGTTCTCATGACCTGTTGAGGCTGCATTAGGTGGTCAGCACTTGCCTAAATAGGTGGATACTGCCTGCATTTTAAATGCATTACTGGAAATCACTTGAAACAGCTTCCCAGATGAAAATAGCCATGAAAAAGGAAAGGTTAAAAAAGAAATACTTTCCTTTTTGTTACTGTCGTTATTGAAAGTTTATTATACATTCCCAAGTATATTTTGTTTAATGACCACATTTTGGACTAGCAAGCCAGTCACTAAGCAATGCGGTTGTTATGTGAGTCACCTGTAGTTGTTAAGTGAGACACTGCATGACTGAATTGTGTCTTTACTTGACTGCTTGTTGGAAGCTACCTGTGAAGTACACAAATGGCAATCATGCGATCATTGAACATTGTGACAATTGTTAATGCCTCCCAATTGTGAAGTGCCCAAAAGGCACTTCACATGATTGTAGGTATGAGAACAGGTCAAAAAGTTAGTTTTTCAACACCGTCATAATTTCAAACAGTCATTAAATAGGGCAGATATTAATTGGGGACTACTGTGCAATATAATATTCCTCTTTTTAATTCTAGCAGAAAAGGGAATTATTCCACAGCAGTATTTGTTATTTGTAAAAGAAAATGCATTTATTTTGCCCTAATTTTTCCAGCTGAATTAGGCCCTGTAGATATAGATGTAATATACTTAGTTGTACATGACTAAATGATGACGTTTAGCTTCATATTGAGAGCCAGTTTGATTTAGTGATTAAGGTTTCAGGCTAGAAAGCAGGAAACTCTGACTTCTAGTCCCACATTAGTCACAAAGTCAGTGGGTCATCTTGGTCCAGTCATTTTTTCTCAGCCCTAGGAAGCCAGCAATGGCATAACCCTTCCAAAAAACCTTGCCAAGAAAACTACAGAAGCTTGTTCAATCAATTTCCAGAAATCGGACATGATTGAATGGAAGAAAGAAAAAACTTATTTCATATGGCATGTAAAGTTTTTGACTCCACTAAAACAGTTTAAAGATATTCTTGGTTTTCTCTTTCTATTTATAACTATGTAAAAGAGCAACTGGAAAAGTAGCTCTAAAAAGTGTTTAAAACTGACGCAGCCATCTTTGTAACAGCAATAGTTTCCAGTGTTAGCACTGACTCTGAAGTTCCTACTCGTGATTCATTATTGCACCTAAAGAATAGTGAAGAAAAATACCACACAAACACATCTAGAGAACAATTGCTGCCTGAAATTCTTCATACAACTGCAAGTAAGCATAAAAATAATATTTCACATATAGGTATTAGCAACATTTTTTAAATTTTTGTTTTCTGTTATTTTTCTAGTAGAATTGTGTTATAGCTTTAAATACATAGAATATAATGCCATTAAATATTATGCCTCATGAACTGGAAATTGTTGTCAATAAAACTTTCTCATGTGATTAATACATAATATGACAATAAATCTTACCTGTATAAGAATAGGTTTTCTTTCATCCATAAAGATTGTATGTGTACATCAGTATAGAATATATTATTGTATTGACTTTTGATATATTCATAAATAATATTTAGGGGGGAAAATCACAATCGATTTTCTCTCTGAGGAATTTCTCCAAAGAAATTTTAGTTGATAGTAGGCAAATACATTTTATTGATTTTCATATTTCTGAACTAGGAAAGAGATTACTTAATCTATTATTGTAAATAATAAGTAATATGCTATCAAGGGAATTATATTTAAATTTGTATTAGAATATGGTTCAACAAAATGTGGCATGTGCAAACAAATCTTTTGAAATCAATTGTTGCAGCAACTGTAGTTTCCGGCAAAGTCAACGTAACCACACAAAATCCATCATTTTATGACAGCCATCTAGGACTGGACAATAAAAATGATCTCCCTGAGAACAAAACTAGGGAAGATGTTCAGTCTGAAATTATTCCGATTGAGAGAAAGCCTGAATTGGAAACAACTCAGACAGGTATTTCTCAGAAGATAGTTTTAACCAGCTTATTTCTTCTATGTTTTGTGGTCTTTCTCAAAAAAGAAAAAAACCCCATAAATATATTATATGGTATTTCAACATGTAATCTGTATAAAACTACAGCCAGAAAGTATGTGAAAAATGATGCTGAATAGCTATTAAACTGATGGCTTAGCAGTAATTCCTCAAGGTTTACGAGAGGACAAATAATGTACGTATCAGAATGTGAATTCACTTCATTTGTTTAGGTGATGAAAATAGTCACTTGAAAATGAATGCTGGGAATGCTTCACTAGCATCATCATAATCCTAAATTAGGCAAATATTTATACTTTTAAATTAAAATATGTCTGTCCAATGAAAAATACCTCTATTTGTCAAACAATGATTTGCAGGCCAGAAAGATAGAAGCCATGCATTGTACAGTATATATGTTTTAGAAATTCATTTAGTGAAAGTCACTCCTATTTTGTTTCAAATTAATTCATCAATACTGTATAGCTGTGATTTCCACTGAAGCTGATGATTATAAGGATTTTACCCAAGATCCATTGATTAAGGAAGATCCTGATTTGAATGAAAAACTTCATCACCCTACAAATTCATCAATAAATGATTTCATACCTGGAATTAGTAATCTCACAGACAATGTGCAAGAAAACAAAACATCGCATACAGGTACTAGGGAAAAAAAGAATGAATTTTCTCTATATTGCCATTCTAGATCAATTAATATAATAGCCTAAATTAATTCTGAAATTTTTCAGGACATGGAACACACTTATTCAGTGGATAGAAACAAGTATTTTTAATTGGCATCATATTTAGACAAAACCCTTTTATTGAAACAGCTGTAGTCTTTAATAATTGCTACATGAACCATTTATACATGTAAAATTGGCATGAGGTTTTTAAAATAGACTATATGCTTCTGTTGTAATGGTATATGGTGTTGCATACAAAGTTCACATCTTTAGTATGAAAGAGTTTAAATAGAAAGGGAATCTATAGGTCTACTGCTATATATCAAATTAGTAGACTACCATTTTGTACAATACAATACAATAGCAGAGTTGGAAGGGACCTTGGAGGTCTTCTAGTCCAACCCCCTGCCTAGGCAGGAAACCCTATACCGTTTCAGACACAAATGGCTATCCAACATCTTCTTAAAGACTTCGTTGGGGCTTTCACAATTTCTGGAGGCAAGCTGTTCCACTGATTAATTGTCCTCACTGTCAGGAAAT